AGCCAGTGTGTTGGCATCAGATACACAACAATGTGAGGTATTCAGCTCACTCCGTGTAGACTCAACTACTGGCGAGCACGCCAACTTGTGTCCTACATCTGTAGCAGGGAATGTGTTTTTCACTCATACAGCCAAGTGAGATAACATGTAGCCAGTGTTATGGCATCAGATACAAATGTGAGGTATTCAGTTCGCTACGTGTAGATGCTCAACTACTGGCGAGCACGCCAACTTGTGTCCTACATCTGTAGCAGGGAATGTGTTCATCACTCATACAGCCAAGTGAGATAACATGTAGCCAGTGTGATGGCATCAGATACAAATGTGAGGTATTCAGCTTACTCCGTGTAGAGAATCAACTACTGGCTAGCACGCCAACTTGTGATCCTACATCTGTAGCATGGAATGTGTTTATCACTCATACAGCCAAGTGAGATAACATGTAGCTAGTGTGATGGCATCAGATACAAATGTGAGGTATTCGACTTGCTCCGTGTAGAGACTCAACTACTGGCTAGCACGCCAACTTGTGATCCTACATCTGTAGCATGGAATGTGTTTATCACTCATACAGCTAAGTGAGATAACATGTAGCCAGTGTGATGGCATCAGATACAAATGTGAGGTATTCAGCTCGCTCCGTGTAGAGACTCAACTACTGGCGAGCACGCCAACTTGTGATCCTACATCTGTAGCAGGGAATGTGTTTATCACTCATACAGCCAAGTGAGATAACATGTAGCTAGTGTGATGGCATCAGATACAAATGTGAGGTATTCGACTTGCTCCGTGTAGAGACTCAACTACTGGCTAGCACGCCAACTTGTGATCCTACATCTGTAGCATGGAATGTGTTTATCACTCATACAGCCAAGTGAGATAACATGTAGCCAGTGTGATGGCATCAGATACAAATGTGAGGTATTCAGCTCGCTCCGTGTAGAGACTCAACTACTGGCTAGCACGCCAACTTGTGATCCTACATCTGTAGCAGGGAATGTGTTTATCACTCATACAGACAAGTGAGATAACATGTAGCTAGTGTGATGGCATCAGATACAAATGTGAGGTATTCGACTTGCTCCGTGTAGAGACTCGACTACTGGCTAGCACGCCAACTTGTGATCCTACATCTGTAGCAGGGAATGTGTTTATCACTCATACAGCCAAGTAATATCAAAGGGTGTTTGGATGGAGGAGACTAGATGCTGCGAAGTTTATAAAGATGTTGTGAATTTACGATGAATGAACATATTATGTGTATATAAATTTATGTAAAAATAAATTGGACCAGTTTAGTAATCCAAAGGCAGTGACGAAAATCCATTTTTATCTAGTAAATAGTGTGGTACTGTTCTCTACAAAAATGGCATACGTCATCATACGGAAACCGTTTTCGTGTTTGGCAATATATTGTGTACAGCAGCCCATAGTCCATAGTCCATAGCCCATAGTCGGTGTTGAACGGTTTTAAGAACTACTATTGTATACTTTATCAATGAACAAATTAAGTTAATGACCTACCTTGCATTATCACAATGTTTACCCGTGAAACGCAGCTCGGTTAAGTTATTCCCCTGCACGTATGTTTGTTGCCGGCTGCCAGGTGGATGTATTATTCACACAGCTTGTGTTTTCACATAATAACGTCACAACTCGCAGACGTGTGGCTGCTCAGTGCAACCATTTGTATAATATTTGACAACGCTAACCTGCACTGTAGTAGTGTATAACAACCCAGCTACGTAGTTAGTCCTATTGAATTTTACAAAAAAAAAAAAAAAAAAAAAATGTATTTTACGGTTTCAACAATTTAAGTGTTACCAAACAATCTCGATATGAAAACCTATGTTCTTGGCAAGCATGGTACGAATTAAATTGTCGCCTTTATCTAATGGTTGATTTTAGAATCAAACGTAAGGGATCCAGGAAAAAGTGGATGGTGAAAAAAATTGAGAAACGAAATGGAGAAAAACACAAGAAGCATATATCTGGCTGTACTATACGAGTTCTTGACTTATAGTAGTAGCTTAACCTATTGATAAAAGGGTTGGGGTTGCTATGGTAAAACCCCGATTCCCATGTTGAAGTCGTTGCCAGTCTAAACATAAAAAATTAACTAAGACTAATAAATTTAGTAAATAATTGTAATGGAATTTGGCAACTTTTGGCGAAGCGAAACTGATAGGAAAACTTTTTTACCGTCTTTCATGCCATATCAAATGTCTTAGACATGCACCACCTTAATTACCACCTACCTAAATGTCACCTAACTACATACCTACATGTCATAGAGGTACGTGTTCTATAGACTAAGGAAGAAAACTAAATCTTTACTGTAGGTACTCTCTGTGAGTGGCACAATCAACTAAGTTCAATTTAAAGAAACAATTAGCTGGTTTGCTAGTTGTTTAAATGGAATGTCTACAACAGTGTTAGAAATACAGTGATACGCCAACTTCTAGAATAATGTAAGGAGAAGAGCTAACGCCCGAAGTGGATTCTTCCCCACCGAACGCTCGCCCTCCCCCTCGTGGATCACATTCATCATCTTAGAAGGTGTCATAAAACTGACAGGTCAGTAATCTCCGACCAATCTGGACCTTGTCTAATCCCACCTGCCCTCACAATCTACGACGGCCTCTTCTCAACAGCGCACTTGTGTGTTGAGGTAATTAAACATCCTATTGAAAAATACTTAATGACATTAGTGCCATGTCAAAAAAGCATCCATTTGTAGATAATCGTTAATCGATTTTAAATGTAACCTCACTTTATAATTTTGGTTACTTACCTTCAATGACTAAATTTAGATGATAACCATTAAGTGGTTATCTCGTAAGTTACCTTTATGATGAATTTGAGGATACCCAACAAATACCTAGGTTTGTCCCTTTCTACCGAATTTACACTTGTTTCTCATGCCAAACCTTCATCAGCCAGTATATTTTAATGCATTCGAGGATTCCAACTGTAAAAGCAAGTTTGACCTTTGCTCGGTTGACTCAAAACGTATCTCAAATACCAATGCATTCCTATTTCCACAACAATATAATTGATTAGGTTATATCAAACACACCTGTTTGTACCTTGCTCGGTTAGCTCAACACTATTCGTCTAATGGTAAGTCACTAGATGCAACTGTGGATGCCCAACACAGCCAAGTTTGTCCCCAACTCGTGTTATACGTCCAGTCCTAAGCCTAAATGTCGCACCGTGTTAGCACAGAGCTTTACACGCATTACGGTGCTTAAAGGCTTCAAAGGCAATTAAAACACAATATCAACTGGACGCCGTGGACACGCGTCGACCGTCGACATGATTAGAAAATTGCGTTTTCAAACAAAGCAGATCAAAGTACGGTTCAATTTATTACTCCATTTAATTGGGGAGTAATCAACAGTCAGACTTGGAAACCCTGTCGCGTGAAACAGTATTTTTTTTGTAAGTATATTTTTCTGTATAATTAAATTACTAAATAAATAATTTATAGGGATATATTATTTAATATTCCGTTAAGCTTGGAATAAATATAATTTGGCAAACCAATGTTTATAAATAAAAAACATCCACGTAGAAACACACCCTGAAGTGTAATGTTCAAGATTCTTTTGAAAGGAAGGTTTTGTATATGGATGAGTGGATGAGTACACAATAACAAAAAGATCAAAAGAAACATGGCCAAAGGAAAGAAAACTATTGTCCAGTCTCATGTCACAAAATATATTGTAGACACTGCAATGTGTTCGGGAAGATTCGTGTACATTGATGAGTAAATTAATAAACTCTGGCACCTTAATAATTCGTTAAATAATATTATATCTTTCGTGAAAACATGGGTCTTCTTTAATTGTACTTTTGAGTATACCTCAACTACCTACTCATATTTATTAGTATTAATTATGTCTCATTGACAATATATGGTGATGGTATTAAAACTTCGCTACATGGCTTAATCAAAAGCGTGTACAAATAACTGTACTCAATTCTAAACGTTTTTCTCTAACGTATTTAAACCCGCCGACGAATTTAGGGTCAAACCCAATATCCCAAATTCACCAACTCACTAATGGCCCATCGAGCGCGTGCTCGTTTTGGGTACCTCTCTCTCTCACACACATTTGTGTTCCCACGTTATTTCGATCAATTATGAGCTCTCTTCATATATTGGTAAATTAAACTGTTTAATTCCTTTAATTTTTTCACCAAACAAATATGATAAAATAGGCCGTTAACACTTTTCGTTTATCCACACTCGTATTTTAGCGAAAAGTGTTGAAAGGCGTAATTTATAATATTCCTTTAATACATAATAGAGAGCGTCTCATGTCAATAACAAAAGTATTTCTTTAACCAACATGCAAACTATAAATAATCAGATGGAATGTATGAACATGTGATAAGTACATCTCATAACTAAGTTACCAAAGAAGGATTATGATATACGTAATTAGACAAATACCAACAGTTAAGTTTTAGTTGCCCGTTGCATCTTGGTTATCAACATAAAAAAAAAGATAAATTGTGTCATTCAGTTTGTGTAATGGTAGCATCCCAAAAGAATCTTCCGGTAGAGGTATTAGAGGAATAACTGTTTATCAGTTCTAATTCTATTAATAATTTAATCAAGGGACTTACATGATGACGGATTTTTTTCTTTTTTTAAAAAAGTACTCTAATTTTTTAACTGCTCGGTTTTGAAGTAAATTCCTACATTAGTTTCTACCTTTGACTATTGATACAAGACTAAGTCAATGGTTCTACCCTCGAAAACATTACGAAGTTTAAAAATCCACAATCGTCCAAAAACCAGCTGTACGGTCGCATTATTGAAAATGTCCAAAACTAAACTATAAGCAGTATAAGTCTTGAAGGAGGTGGACAATGTATCAAGATATTTATAATATATATTTTATTAAATTAGCATAAGATTTATATTAAGAGTCTAGTATTTTGTGTACTATTTTCACAGTGTGCTAACGAGATTGTTTGTGTTTTAGGTATGTGCATTGATTCCCTTATCATCCATGGACACTGTTAGTGAGTACATCATTATTGTTGATCAATTAGTGTCCTATGCATATTAAAAGCAAACTAAATCAAGGGAAGATGTTTAACAAACTTATTGAGTATGAAGAACGCCTGAGGAACATTTAGAAATGTTATATATTTAATATTTAAATCATAGGTAATTATTTTGTGACTGATTATTAAAAAAAAAACATACTAATCAATGCTGCTATTTCATACCATCGGCTGTTTTATTTGTAACCGTAAATGGATAAACGGCGTTTACAATCATGTGTAAACGATTGGCAAATTTAATTAACTTTAATCGATATCTATTAATAATACCGTAATTGAATAGTTTATTAGATTATTGTTTCGATCGGTTGTTGGTGTATAGTAATTTTCCACCGTCATTTCCAAGTCCCCGATGTCCAGTATGTTTCCATGCAGCGCGGCTAATGTATGACCTCATGTGGGATGTATGCGATGTATCGACGAATAAACACGGCTAACGTATTGATATTGACGGTTATTGGTATCGCTCTGTTGTCTACATATAGTGACGGGCAATACAGGTGCAAATGTTTTAATTAAAGATTCCTCACGTTACAACACAGTTTTAATTTTTGATTTAATTTGTAATTAATTTTACAAAAATAACAACGTTACCCGGATACAAATTCTTAGTAAAAAAGAGTACGAAATATTTCAGTGAAAATTAATCTTCTTACCACTGCATGAAAATTATATAATTGCCACACCTTTGTACGCAAAATGCCCCATTTCCGCTCTAGAGCAGGAATGGCCATTCCCGCTAGCTAAATCACAAAGTCTGCTGATTTCTCTGCTGGCGTTTCTTTAAAATACTAACATTCAGAAAAAAAAAAAACACAACCTAAATGACAATTTATACACAACTGTAAAGGTAATCTATGTGTTATATATAATATGTCAATTATGGTGGTAGGAAAAATCTTGTGTGTATTACGACCAGTCATTGCCGCTCTCGAAATTTACTCAGTTAAAGCTTCGTGTGGTCATCTACCTACAGTTCTCGTGCGGCAACTACGTACTTAGCGCTCTGATATACAAATAGCTATAGGGTAAAATGGAGTAGGATAAAAAGTGAAGCTTCTTTAATCCGCGTCTACACGAGACCAGTAGGCAGGCGAACGGGGCAGGTAACCTTCCTCTAGTGTATTTCAATTGACTTGAGGCAGATAACCTGTTCGCTAACTGGTTTCGTGTATTCGTGGCTTAACTTAATAAGGTAATCATTCTTTAACCAGGAGATATTATTGAAAGCCAAATGATCAAAGTTGAAATATTCCAGTTTTAAACCATAAGTAAATCACTATTTTCACGAAATTGAACTGGAGATAGTTTGACTACAGGAAAGCACTACCCACACAGTAGCCACTTAACCTCTCAATTATTTTAGGATAAGATCAAATAAATATATCAACATTTTACAATTATTCTCTTCAATGCCTTTAAAAGTAGCAGTGTTTTAATATAATGCAAGATAGACTGTAGGTTAAACTGACAACAACGAAGAACTGATCTTTTGCGTCGAAAGGACGATTTGATTCCATTATGATGTAATGGAATGGATTGATGAATTAGCCATTGTTCTGTTCTCCATCTCGCCTCATTTGCACCCGAGTGAGAACGCTGATTGTTGTGGAACCTTTGTTTGTCATACACTTGGTTGTAATAGACACTGCTAATTTGTGTTTTGTATTGTGCATTTGTAATATACACTGCACTTGTTGTAATCGACTTCGCTACAGCACGGGAAACGTTTATATTTACGATGATAATTCCCCCAACGTATGACAGGTTATTTATTTTATATTTAGAAGCTTTGTAGCCTATAAATATAGAGAATTTTACTAATTAAAATAATATTACTGTAATACTTGAGTGGCGTAGTTACTGCTATAAACTGAAACTTTGTTAGTGAAATAGTATTTTAATGTAAACACCTTATTTAGTTTCTTATTCTTACCTATACTTATTTATGAGCATACCACACCGAACGATCATCAAAGCTATATTACAATATTAAGTAACAAACCTACTCCACATTTCATTGTGGTTCCCGAGCTATATTTTGACTGGAACTAATGAAAACGACATAATTAAAGTTAACACTCGATTGCATGACTAAAATATGGTTTATTATAAACTATTTAGTTAATAGGAAATGTGAAAATGTTCTGTTCAAAGGTGGCTGTTCATGTACCACTGATTGCGTTGAATTGTAACATTTTACACCATTTACATTTGACTAATTTTGTTGGAATTGTTATTATTTAAACTACGTTTTTAGGTCTAGTATAGTCCAGATCCTGTCGAACTCATATGAAGTCATATGACATGATCCGATTTCAGAACTCGAAACATCATGCAACTGTTTCACTAATTGGTTAATATTGTACAATAGTTTTGTAAATATAAAAAATTCTTTTAATCAACTAAAACTATCACCAAAAATCTACTTACAACCACAAATTATTATATTCACAAATATTTCTACCCAATTACCCTAGATTCCAGCAATTGTGGAATGTCTGTAAACATTTTTGACGACATTGCTGGCAGTTTACACTACACTGGGTTGATGTACCCAGACATTAAAACACGACATTAGAACAAGAGCAGTGATGAAACTTGGTCATTATGCCGCTGTTAATCCGCCTGAATGTTGTGGCAAGATGAGAACATCCCAGTGGAGATTGACTTGATAACCCCAGTGTCGTTGTGACTCACTGCTGCTGTCTTATCACTGCATTTTGGCTCCCTTCGCCAAATTAACCGCCTTATCATCCAACCAGTAAGAGTATAAAGTACACTTTTATGAAATGTTACAGTTAATAATTTAAAAACTTAAGATAATTGATACTCTTTCGAAAATTTTGCTCCTTTTTGCTTGAAAATGCCTGCCCATACTGAATGTTTTTCGACACTTAACATACAATGTAGTTGTGCATCAGCTGACTAGTTTGCTTTATGTGTTTTTGGATATTTTGGTTGTCATGGTGACTAATAATTGGTAGAGTGGAATTAATGTTTAAAAAGGTGAAAGAAGGTTCGTTTTTGTTGTTGCGATTTTCGATGTGTAAAATATAAGTAAGTTGTAGTAAGCTCTGAAGAGTTTTATTTTCCCACAAGCTATTTCGGCATTCAACAAACGTACACTCACATTCAAGACTTTCTTCATTCATGGGCTTATATAAGGCACTTTGTGGAATCCTTATAGAATCTTCATCACCCGAGTAACTTTATCCAATCTTTTTAGAACAGTCCATCACAGAGGCCTTCAATGTAGATACATATTTAAACTTGTGAAAGTGGAAGTTGTGTGCACCTCGAGGGCATGTGGTGGTGTTGAAAGAACAAAGAAAAATACTGATGCAACTGCCATAGAACGGTGTGAACAAACTTAAGAGTCAATACAGTTTCAATATTTTGCTACGTTGGTCAAAAGTACAAACTACTTAAATTCAGTACATGTTGCACGTGGAGTATCGTACTACTTCAAAACAGACAATGAGGTTGTTCCTTAAATAATTTCTAAATGCAAACAATATAACTATAAATTCTTAAGTCGTTAGCTATGCTCCAGGGGGAGGGAGCCTGGAACTGTGTAAAGCAGTTCACCATGGCCATACTTTGGGCTAAGAAGGTCGATCTTGATCGGCCTGGATCTTAGCTTTCGGAGGAAATAAGAAGGAAAGCCCTAGTGGCGTAGTTTAAATGCCTAGCCCGAAGTAATATTCTTAACAGTTCAAGGCTAGTGTCCTAGGAGATGAGGTTTTTTTAGCCGGTAGTCCGGGGACACAAGGCCAGCGGGAGTTCAGCACTGCTGAGTCATTTCAGTGTGCATAAATGCATTTTTACCTCCTCCCAACACAACAATTGCATACGCCCAATATATACTTAAATATATTAGTTTTATGATATTTCTGTTTAACCAATGTAGGAATTGATTTTGTTAGTCATTCTGATTAGAATGCCAAGAGATATTCTCAAATATTCGCTGCCACAAAACATGATGCATGTGATATTTACTTTGTTTTGTTTTAAAAGTTGATTTGTTCGTAAACATATGTATTAAGTCTGCTTAATTGCTGCCATTATTTATTTTATTGATTTCATTCGTGGAAAATACTTAGGCCTATAGACTTTATTAACGCCCAAAGTGTACACACATTTTATATTATATGCTCCATGTTACACACTATAATAAAACCGGTGCATCAAATTCAGTTGTTGTAGTTAACATATGTTCAAGTAATGGGTTCAGACTATTATCTGAAGTTTTCTCGAAATATAAGCCCACTCTGTAATCTTATCAAATTGTTATGTAAACACTAATGGCTTGCTTACTAATGCCCCGAGTGGATAAGAGTTGTATAAGAAGTACAAAGAAGTTCATTCTTTGCCGATTACTTTGTTCACCAGATTTAAGATTCCGAATGTCTCTTAATCGTTTATTAATTAGTTTGTAACTATAATATAATATAGACCGCAATCGGTGAATACATTAGCATAACAGTTATATAGGAATCAAGTTTTCTCTCAATCTAATATCTTATGAAATCATTTTACTGCAATTATTGTGTATTGGCTAGGAGTTAAAAATTACGATTTTAGCCTGGATCCTTTGTTAAATTAACATTGGATCCATTCAGCTACATTTAGACGTTCTACTTTTTCTGTATATTTAACTTTAAAGTAACATAGTCACATGTTAACTACACATTTAATTTTAAAAAAGTGGGTGATTTTCCTGTTGCCTGTGATAAAAGACAAATTTAGTAGAAAGTCTGGTTAGGAGAAATTGATTTCTTGTCTTATGAAAACTCTTTTCGCCTTATCTTGCAGAAAGAAAGGATTTCCTTATCTGAAACCTTGTTTGCTCCCAAGCCACATTAGAGTTTATCCTCAAGAGAATTGTGGAAAACATTTTCATTGCCCAGCAGAACAACTTGTGTGTCTTTCGATAAAAATGTATCTAGACC